TATCAGAAAATCGGATAATTACTAATTTTTTATGTAACACATGAAAAGAACAATATGAAAAATATTGCTAACCCAATATATATTCACCCCAGTTCTAACCTCCCTTCATCTGTAATAAAACATATACTCTCATCTATAGAATGTATGGTTAGCAACAACTCATCTGGCAAAGGTGTGTTTTATAAATAATAGCGGTGTTGATAATTCTGATTTAAAAAACAGAAAATGATGGAGAATAATTATCAACCACGTCCTGACGGCATATCACACATAAAAGAAAGAAGATTATTTGAAAGAACTCCGCTGTAGATTTTTCGGCTAATCACTGGATTTCGTTTAGTTAGCCAATTTATGCATCAGGGGAACTGGTCACCACTTAGGTAACTGCTTAAAATTAGCAGATATTGGGAGCAAAAAAATCAAAGCTGTTTTTAGTTCTTCTAATGAAAGGTCCACGAGTCACTCAAGGTAGAGGATTACTAAATTATTTAATCTGTTTGTTTAACGGCATATCAACTCCTTATGGGTCTTTTAAGGCCGAAAGTTAATTTTGGGGGGACCTTTAAAATAATAAAAATATGATGTGTTATTCTGCTTTCACAGCTGAATACTTGGTAAATGATACTCAGCTTTTCTGCATATATATGTTTATGTAGACACAATTACTAGTGGCGGTTATATGGGTATGTTATGTTGTAGTTTTGTTATATTTTGGAATACAGTTAGACTAAAGAAATTGTAGGATAGTCTATGGATTAATGTCAAAAATGTTTTCTTTTAGCGGCATATCAACACCTATGGATTATTTAATGCCAACATATAAATATATTGGTTGTAAAGGAGTGTCCCACACTCCCTATCGCCCATGTGGACTGACTATATCAGTAGATAGATATATAGCGAGCACAGGATATACCTGGGTCCTTGCTTCGGCAATTAGTTGGAGATACGTCTCCAGCTAAGCTAGTCGAACTCTCTGCCTTCGGGCAGAGAGGAACCCAGACGAGGCTTTGCCGAAGGGTAGAGTCTCGTCCTGGGTGGTAGACAGCTAACCAACCGCGGTTCTACGGGGAATTTTTGCGCGAGCCTACGGGTTCGGATACCCCACGTTAAATTCGGCCTTGTGCCACATTTTACCACGTGGGGCGGTTGGTAAATATCCTTGCTTCGGCAATTATTTGGAGATTCGTCTCCAGCCAAGCTAGTTGAACTCTTTGCCCAACCCCGTTTTTACGGGGAATGATTGCCCGAGGTCGCGGGTCCGGTTTTAACCCAGCATTAAAAACGGCTTCGTGCCACATCCTGTCTCGCTGGGAGCTGAGGTAAATAACCTTGCTTCGGCAATTAGTTGGAGATTCCACCTAAGCTAGTCGGACTCTCTGCCTTCTGGAAGAGAGAAACCCAGACGAGGAACTGCCGAAGGGCAGAGTCTAGTCTGGGTGTGTTAGACTGCTACCCGACCCCGTGTATACGGGATCTACAGGGAATTTTTGCCCGAACCTACGGGCTCAGTTTTTACCCGCATTAAAAACGTCCTTATGTCATATCCTGCCTCGCGGGGAGGTATGGTAAATAACCTTGCTTCAGGAATTACTAGGCTGCCACCAGATTCCCTGTCTTTCAGTTGTGTTCTTTTTTTGGTTTTTGTTTTAATAACCTCTCTTTTTTTCATCTACGCGCTTGTTGCTGTTTCTTCTCTCGAGTACCACCTTTGTCTGTTTGCAACCTCTCTAAGGATACAACAGTTTTGAACATAATTTTATGGCTATCAACAAAATATAATTTGAACGCAGTTGTATGCCTTCAGCTACAGATAAATTGTAGTGTTGGTAATTTTGCTATAAAAATGTATTTTGGGGAATTTTACTATAAATATGTATTAATGGTAATTTTCAATATAAAATGTATTTTTATACTTTCCTAGTGTTTTGTTTTTCTTTAGGGGTTTACTGTTTGTCCATGGCTGGGACCCTAACAGGTGCTACCACCCTAAGTCAGCGTAGACCTGGGAACAACAGCCATTAAGAGGTGGGTCCACGCCCTTTAAAACCTCCAATCTCCTGATTAGCAGCCTTCCTGCCAGATGTAGTACATTGTCATAGCCAATACTATATCGAATTATGTTATTGCATGAACGTAAGGGCAGAAGGTAAGACGTGCCTATTATGAAGATACTTGCTGAATGGCCCGGCGTTTCCCGCGCTTGATTCAAAAATCGTACGACTCATACAACAATCGTTATCACTTGACTTAAAATATTTTTGCCCTTCCTTGCCTTTAAAGGAGTGCCCTTTGCCGTGCTAATGTTGCTACATGCCTTACTTCTTGCCTATCTCACACTGCGAATTTTTTCTAAGCTCTATACTAAACATTAAATCTGTTACGAAAGAAGAACTAAACAAAATGAACACAAAACGATCAGCTTTAAAAAAAAAAGACTGGTAACTGGAAAAACCGAATGAAAAAAGAATGTTAACAACAAATACTTTTTCACACCCAACCCAGTTCTGCGGAATCAGAATCAACGTTGAGTTTAAGCAGGCGAATGAGCCAATAGGAGTAAAGTGCCATGCAGATTTAAATTTTCCTACTTGTGACGAATGCAGCTATCTATTTTATTTATTTATTTTTGCATGCTAGCATGCTAGTTAACATTTGTGTCAGTCAGCTTGTGGCTCTTACGTTGACCAATAGAATCTTCCTGCCTATTCGTGGCAGCCAGCTATAGGCTATCACTCTAGCCCGTACAAAATGGCCGCAAACTACATGAAAACTGCCGTAGAAGCATGATAAAATCAATTATTTCCACTATCGATGGGAGTTTGGAAATTCAAATGGCCTTTTCTGCTAACTTGGAGCAAGTGCATGTAAATTTTGGTGCAAATCTGTCGAAAATTGCCGCTGTGCATTCGTTACACACACACACACACACACACACACACACACACATCCTGCCTTTTATAGATAGAGATGTAGGATAGATAATGATTAACATAGGCAAACATTGTACTGATCTGTGAAGTTTTCTCTCGGGACTTCCATAAAGTAGCGGCTTTTGGGAGGAAGCTGTCCAATTAGAATACAAAGGTAATGGGTATGATTCGTGCCTGTGTACACGGCAATGTTGGTCTTTGATGTGAAGGTCTTAACTGGGGGAACTAAGATATGTAGCTCATCAAAACTCGATAGATTAGCGAGAAGCTTGCGACATTTTATCCGTAGGGGTGAGGTAAAGAAAAAATTCATCACCCACAAGGCCGCGAAGACGTCTCTAGACAATATCAAGTCCGGAAGGTTTGGATTGGCAGCTCTAACCCAGATATATCAGCAGTACTACAGTTTCGGACTGATCTAATTCTTGCAAAGCTAGAGCATAGCAGGAGGAGTCCGGGGCTTTCTGGAACGGCACAAGGAACTGATCATTTTTTCACCATCTTTAGCGATGATACCGATACAAGAGTTTCCACTTTCAATATGAGGTCAATTTTAACTCCAGCTGGACTCATTCAGGTTTCATCACGATAGCCAAATATCCAGGTTCTGTCCGATGAGGATTAACGTTATTAGTTTAGTTAATGATTGATTTGTTTCTTACGGTTTATAAAACATTTACAGGTTATTTAAAGCCAGAATGCCTTTTCAAATTGTAATAATTGTTTTCAGATAATAGTTTATTGATACAAGACTTACTCAGTTGGTAAAGAGGAGAAGTGTGTATTCAGACCTTTCCAAATGTATATTTGGCTCATTTGAATTGGAACTCGACTCTCCAATTAAAAAATTCACAGCCATTATCCATTACACCACCTGCACACCCAATCTCACGGCACAAACGGTCAACCCTCTAGATATTGACCGGTTTACTTAACTTCGGTGGTCGGGAATGGGACGTTCCGGCGTAGCCCATTTGGCGTCGCTGATTCGGCGCAACCGATTCGACATTTTTCAGCGGTGGGGAGATTAGGCATTAGATTACTACTTCGTCATTATAGTCAAATTCTCTCTCTCTCGCACACACACACACACACACACTCTCTCTCTCTCTCTCTCTCTCTTTTAGTAGTCAAATTAGTACTTCTTCTTTATATGCTCGAATAGTCCAATTTTTAAATATGTGGAGTTGGAGGCATTATTATATTTAAGAAAATGTGTAGTTGGAGGCATTTCATATTTCTTATCCAACTCCCAAAAAGCTAAAAAAAATAAATAAATAAATAAAATAGAGAGATGCTGACGAACGAATCAAAAAAATGGAAATTGAATCATTAGATCCTATTGAATTCCTGAAGGGTGATGCTCATAATTACGAAAGGAAGAATTTCTAAGATTAAATATCATTACTAAGTTTTTAAATTTCTTTAAATACAATATTCTTCATTTAAGTTTTTAATTTACATTATTCCATTAATGTTTTAATAGGATCCTAAATTCTCTAAATAAATAAAAACTCATATTGAAAGTTAAGTGTTTTCAATGCTTTTTATCCTTTTTGGGGGTTGCCTCCAATCAAAGTCAGTGACGTCGAAACAGTCTGACGCCTAAGCGGCTGCGCCGAATAGTCCAAATATTTTTCTTGCGCTGAATCAGCGACGCCGAAACGTACGAAACCCTTGGTGATCGTACTGTAATCAATGTTCCAACGTGATATGGCCGGAATCCATTACACAGCTGTTGAATGCAGCAGTTGTAGTTTGATCGTTGAAATTAAGCAACAGGTTACCTGGTCAGGATTTAGATGAGTAACCGCTCAGGAAGAATTTCAAATTTAACTGCCTTGTGTCAAACTGGGAGGAATGAATAAAAGGAAAGACAATAGCGGACTGACAGCTTGGTATAAGTCTTTTTATAGATATAGATTCCTGTTTTTGTCTTTCCAGCTACATTCAATACATCCAAACACCTTACAAATTTTTTTTGTTTTGTTTTTGTTTTGCTTTGCGGAGTTTTGTTTTACTTTTGTTTTTCTTTCTTTCTTATGACGTGCATTTTTTTTTAAACCGATGAGATCTCATGTTCGGGAAAAATGGTGCCCGCCACCTGTGCATACTCCACGTGTTATTAAAAGATTCTTTTTACGCCAGCGTTTTCGTTTTCAATCAGGTTTCATTCTTTATTTTTTATTTTTTTATTCTCGTCTCTTCACTTTTTCTCCTTATTCTTTCATGAATAATTTTCAGTCATTTATGTATGTTTCAGTCTTCTTTTTTGTTCTTTTTTTTTTATATCCCTTTCTTCTTTACCTTCGCGTCTTTTCTCTTTTCTTCTTCTTTTTTCCTTTTTTTGTATCTTTAAAAATGTGTCTTTTTCACACTCTTTTTCTCTTTCCTTGTCCCTCCACTTATTTCTTTTTTTTCTTTCTCTCCTTCCTATTCAGTTCTTCACATCTTTCTTTATTTTTTATCTATATTTCATTTCTGTCTTTATTTAATTCATCTGCCTTTCCTTTCTTTCATTCCCATATTTCGTTCTGTCTTTCCTTCATTCCTCATTTTTTCTCTTTCCTCTCTTTCGTTTTTTCTTTCTTTCTGTCTTTTCATTACATTTTATTCGTCATACATTATTAATTTTCTTTTACTCATTCTCCCTTCTCTCTCTTCTTCCAATTTCATTCATTCTAATTTCATTCGTTATTTCTCTCTCTATACATCTCCCTTTTTCTTTATGTATGTTCTGATAGTTTCCCTCGTCTCTTTCTTATATCCTCTTTCTTTCTTTCTTTCTTTCTTTCTTTCTTTCTTTCTTTCTTTCTTTCTTTCTATTCACTTGCGCATCTTTCTTTCTTTTCCTTTCGGTCTTTTGCTCTCTTTTCTTTTTCTATCTTTCTGTTCCTTCCCCCTCGGTTATTTCGCCCTCTTTCCCTTTCTAAACATTCCCGCAAGATTTAAATCTTTTTTCCTTCACACATTTAAGGATAAAATGCAACCGACGTTTAGTGATACTTTAAATCCTGTTAGTTCGCCTAGAAATATGAAACATAACAATTCGCAATTGCACCTTTTTCAGGCATTTCACGAACAACTTTGAATTTTATTATATTTTTTATTCTCTTTCTTTTCATGCTTAACCGAGTAAATAATTTCTTTATCACAAACCTCTATCTGTCTGTACACACACACACACACACAAACACACACACACACACAAACACACACACACACACACACACACACACACACACACACATATATATATATATATATATATATATATATATTACAAAATACACATAATATTTTACATTAATTGCACAACTCTGAGTTTCATGCCGAAGCAATTCTCAAGCTCTGGTATTTTAGTTTTGGGATTACCAGCGCCTGAGAATTGCTCCGACATGAAACTCAGAGTTATGAAATCAACGTAAGATATTATGAATATTTTTAATATATATTAAGTAGCTCTGTTATTTAAGAATGAGCACTGTTTTACTTACACTATAAAGTACTTATATGCATTTGTATACGATCGCTCGATGTTGCGGGCTGCCATTCGGTTATATATATATATATATATATATATATATATATATATATATATAAATCAGTGAAGATTTTATCAAACCATGAAATAGTCTGTCACCATTTGGCTTTATATTTGCATAATCTTTATCCCGGATATTAAGTACCTTTAACCTGTAAATGTAGCATATCTTTTAAACTATATTTTGTCAAACACACACCCACACGCACACATACACACACACACATACACACACACACATATATATATATATATATATATATATATATGTGTGTGTGTGTGTGTGTGTGTGTGTTTGTGTATGTAATCAGACAGATTTCGTTAAATAATTCTGTCTACTTATTTTCGGTAAGATTCTTAAAAGACGAGAGGCAAACACCGTGTTGGCTCATATTATATTTATTCCGAGTACTTTCGACATAGCATAATGTCATCATCAGGGTATTGCTAAATATTGAGTAAGTATTTATTGTTCATGGTTGTGAAAGTCAAAAATTGTTGTGTTCATCAGAAGATTACCATTTTTATATGTGGAGTCATGAAAGCCGTGTCATCGCTGGGTGACAGACACCGTTTAAGGAGAGGTAACGAGGTGTGCTGTGGAAAAGTCCACAGATTGATTAGTTGCTACATAAAAGAAAAGCAATTAATGACAAGTGCTAACATTTAAAGACTATCTATTGTAAACATTTTAAAATGTTTGTGGAATATTCGCAATTAATTTTATAGAGGTTTAGTTTCAATTTTTTATATAGCCAGCGATGACACAGCGTTCTTGACTCCACATATAAAAATGGTAGTCTTAGTAAGATTTTTAACAGAAATAAACTAACACTAAGCTATAGCTGTACCGATAATCTTGAAAAAATTATTAAAAAACATAATAAAACTTTAAGTCAATACAAAAACATGAGTAATTCCGAAGCAACAAACGCAGACAATACCAACAAGTGTAATTGTATAAATTCTAACAAATGTTCATTGCAAAACAGGTTTCAAACTAACTCTCTTGTTAACCGAAGCATATCTACTATAGAAAATCCAGCAGTTAAAAAGTTTTATATCGGAAGTGCCAAGAATTCCTTTAAAACTAGGTAGTACCAACTTATATTATCTTTCACCAATAACGCGTACAGAAATAGGACGTCTCTTTCTAAATATTTTTGGGACATAAAAGAAGTTAATAAAACCACTACGGTAAAATGGAAAATACTAAAATAAACTAGAGCTTGTAAATCTTTAAATGAACTGTGTTTCTTATGTTTACAGGAAAAACTATAAATTATCAAATCTGCTGACAAAAAATCCCTATTAAAGCAAAGGAATGAATTAACTGTAAATTGTAATTTATTTCGCTCACTAGGATAGACTGTTCTAGTTCCCCGTGTCATGTCTAATGGATGTCAGTTATCAGTTATGGAGAGGGAATTAACAGGAGATAACTGATAACTGACATCCATTAAACATAGCACATGGAACTAGAACAGTCTACCCCAGTGATCAAAATAAAGGGTTCAGTTCGACATTCCAACCAGCTGAAGAAGGTCTGAGCGTACAACGGCCAAAACGTTGTAATAAATATGGCGATAAAGATGAGGACAATAGTCTGAATAATGTAAATAGTATATATATATATATATATATATATATATATATAAACTCTCATCACAACTTATTCCCGAATCCAATATTTTAATTTGCATTGAAACTCTTAATGGCATTTGTCTATATGCATGTTTCGACATACGAAATGCCAAAATTTATTACTCAATAAAATATTTTCACAATTAAATAACTTATTTTGTGGTGTGAGATTGATAATATCGAGCGTTGTTCATAATATTGAAAAAAAAAAATTAGAAAAATGTTGAACAATCTTCAAAAAAACATTCAAAACAGAATTGGAAAATATTATAAAGAAAAGTCCAAGAAAAAAAGCCGGCTTTGAGAATGGTGCAAAAATATATTTGAGAAAATTAAAAGTGTAATGAGAAAGAAGAATCTTATCAGTAGCAACAAAATATTTGATGAAATAAACGGAACGAATATAAACAGAGAAAAAAAGATGCAAAATAGAAAAAGATGAAAGCAACTAGACAATTGCACTCAAGAAAAATTCAAAAGGAGAAACGTGTAAATTGGAAGAAAAAAAATTACATGCAAATTGATGTCTTAACATGGATTTTTAATGATTAATGTCGAGCTACATTCGACGGAATTGATTTCGATGCTATTAAGATCGTAGTATAATTTCTTAGTCTAATATTCTTGAATATAAATCATATATCTCTACAAACTCGATAGTTGCAAGACGAATTATTAAAAGTTAATAGACGAAACATTTTCAGAGGGGTGCAGTTCGCAAGCAAAGTGATTTCAGCTAAATAGTATATTCTGGAATGACAATGCTCCTTTCCTTCACATCAGCAAAGTTTGCTATTGCCAACTTTGCCAAACATTTTTCAGAGATAGTAAATTAATGCATTGACCCTAGCCTCCCCATATATTAATTCATTAGAAAACTTGACGTTTTCATTTAAACAGATCTATATCATAATAAAAAAATGAATTTAATTTTTTTTAATTATTTCACCCTAAACAAGGAGGAAATGCCACTAGTATACAGTGGGGTTACATGGAGTGAAAGTGAAAGAGAAGACTGAAAATAAAGAAGATTGACGACAGGAAAAAATGAACAGGGAAGCAAGTAAAGAAGCGGGAAAAGAAATGGCGTTTGTATTTATTTATTTCAATAGTTAACTGGTGGGACCTAAATGCCAATCTAGTAGCACACTTAAATTCATGCAGTCGGGACACCAGAAGAAAAATCTCGTTAGAGCAGTTGCCATGAAAATATTTGTTGAAAAGACAGAGGGTAGACACGTTACATCAGAAAGAATGAGAAAGTAACTGAAGTCGATATGCCAGGTCAGGATCGATTACATTACAGATCCTTCATTGGATTTTTTCAAGAACCTCGAGATGAATAGCAGGAACACTAGTCTAGATATGGATGCAGTATTATTCAAGAAAAATAATCCCAGGTAAACAAAATAAATAAATCGGTTGTATGTAATGTCAAACAAAAAAAATAGTAGAATAATTAAAATAAATGTTTGAAAGATTGATGAATGTTGTAGAATGCTTAAAAGCTAGTCTTAACATGTTAAGTAATAAGATATTCTGTAGCACGTTGCTATGATCTATATCTTTTGGATTTATATATATTTTGTACTTTGTATAACACGTCCATTCAACAAATTATCAATATTTTACATAAAGACAATGGAGTAATGGATAGCGGTTCGGACTGGGGAATCGGGGGGCCGCGTTCGATTTCCAATTGAATCAGTTACGTTCACTTACGTTCTAATACCCTTCGGAAAGATATGAATCCTCTTCTCCTCCTCCAGTTATGGATAAATATCAGGGCAGACCGTCTTCTATAGCCTCGGATGACAACTGATCTACAGTAGAAAGAAATGGCAACCTACTGCGAGAAAAAATCTGACTCGTCAGTCAAGTATCGAAAGATACATGATCGCCTAAGCGTGTGTCACGCATGGCACATAACTGACATAAGGACAGATATCATAAGATAAAATTCAATTGATATACTGCGCATGTAAATCCTTATTGAGTATCATACCAATGTCAGTTTATTAATACCAATTTTAATGCATAAAGTCAAAAGAAATATTGTATTGCCTTTTTTTTAATAATTATTTAATTCAAATTGGTAGAAATTCATAATGAGTCCTTGTATTTCACTTTCCGTGTATGTAAATATGTGTGTATCTTACGTGTAAATTTCCAAACGTATGTGTGATCGAATGCTCGGTCACACATACAACCATGTCTCAGATCTTTAGAATATTAATTAAAGTTGATAAGCATAAATTCCATCGTCCAAAAACACAGAAAAATGAAAAAGAAAAAACTGTTTAAAAAAAGAAAAAAAATGAGATTTACTTTTGGCTATAGCGTGGAATTTTTTCGTTCGTTTCATTCAAAATTCTAATTCACGTTCTTCGTATGAGTGAGGTCATGTGTAGAACTGTGTTTCACAGAACGTGACTGCATAGGGGATATATATATATAACTGCAATACTAAATATAATAATACAAATAACAACTTATGTAATTGTAGGAATCCGAATAATTGTCCACTACAAAATAACTGTGGGATTACTTCTGTAGTCTATCTTGGTACTATTTCAACAATTGAAAATCCAAATATAAAGAAGTTTTACATTAGTAGCACCATGAAAACATTCAAGGAACGCTGGCGGGGGCATATGCAATCCTTTATTTTTGTAGTGATTTTATAACATACTTATGTTATAATTTTTTTATAAATAATAATTATATATATATATATAGGTAGCA